TTTCCAACCAAACGGTTCTTTTCATAACAAAACTCGTATTTTATAAGTATATTTTATTTCCGTACATTTTACAGTCACAATCTTTCCAGTCGCATTATCTTTTCTTAAGTATCAATACAGTTACTAAGATTTCATTATAATATATATCTTAGAATATATTTCCATGCTGAATAGTTTGAACATGAGGCTCTATAAAGTGAGATGTAGAAATTGAACTTATAAGTACCAACAATTTAAAACAAGTTATTAGCAAATGACTTTCTATCGACGAGTATGTAATTATTACAAATTATAATCAGAAACGTCAGACTCAGTGCATAATTATCCCTCACTTCCATACTAAACATTAAACGAGGAAACACAATATATTATCTTAAGGAATACAAAAATGTAGATTATTTAATATATATATGAAAATAAATTGCAAAACTTTAATTCATTTTAAATAGATTTACAACATATAAGAGATAAACACTGCAAGATACATGTCTACTGTATACTAAACATACCAAAACCGATAACAAAAGGACAAAACAAAAGTGATAAATTATAAAATCCTGAAATGCTTCGACGAATGTAGGCACTCTTGGAAAAGAGTACAAGGTCCCTGAATCATATGTGGATCAGTTCTAAAAATCTAGTTTCAAGCAATTAATTGAACTAAAATGGAATTCAGACCAACGACTTATATTTTTCGACAGTATATAGAAGATACTGTTAAAGACTGGAATTTCATGCAAACGTTTACTCTTTAATCGACTTATTCCATGTTCTTAAAAAATTCTTTAACGAAAAAAAATATTTAACAAGAAATAGTAATGATGTCTGTTTTAAAACCAATTCTAGACTGCAAAAAATAATCATACAACTACCTTAATTCACAATTGTCTACGGAAAAAGAACAATTAACTGTTTAAATGATATTGTAGCTATATACTAAACGTTTTAATTCATGCAAAATAGTATTTGTTTGATGACTACCTATGTGCCTTTTTACACTTCGAAATCCAAAGCAGGTTTAAGCACGCTGTTCTGAATGTTTTGGAAAATATAATACAAACGAATATATTGCTTACGGATGAAAGCCAGGTCAGAGTATCTAGTATCGTGGCAATCAACTTACTGTCATTTATTTGCAGTTTCCTTTGTAATGAGCTGACTTCAGATAAGGAAGTCAAAAAAACGTAAAATAACGCTATCGTATTTGGAAGTTCAGCTATAAGAAAAAGGCAAACATTAGCTAGTGACATTTGCACTACTTGCACCAGATTTTTAGAAGTAGACATTGTTTGATTCTTCTCTTGTAATGCATGTCTTTTGTTTAAGTATCGTATATTTCTACGGATCCCCATAATCTCAAAGATCAACAAGAAGAAGCATAGTAAAAACTGAAGAATAATGGTTCTTAGTAAGAAACCGGATAGGTTCAAAGGCAGCATCCACTGCTCACTTTCATTCGATAAAGCAGTAGACATCGTGGTGATATCTTTATTAAAAACATCTTTCGATTGAACTACTACAGATTCCATATTGAAAAGGACTATCAAATTCGGTGTAACTATTACAAGGATGATACAAAAAGCTAGCCAAATGTAAATACGAGCGTATTTAATTCTGAGATACTCTTTTACCTTGAAAGGGAAAGAAATGATAAAATATTTCTGGAAAGAAAGTCCAAGCGTTATGGATATTGACATGCTATGAAACATTGATGGTAAAATTTCAATTGACAGAATTATTATGATACAAAAGTTGTATGAGATGAAGTCGGTATATCCCTGAAATACAATAAGATACAAGATAGTTGGTAATTGAACCATGGCTGATAATGTATCGAATATTGACTTCATTTGTAACAAGACGGTGTTACAATTATTCGACACATGCCTAGAGAGAATATAGAGCATAAACCCATTGATAATGATAGTTATAATTCCAATGATTGGCAAAATGTAGCGAAAGTACAATTCGCTCGCTTGTGAATCCAAATATCGTGTTTCCACGCTGAATACGGCTTCTCCAATATAGTGGTACTCATCACAAACGTCCGGTTTTCCGTTCCCATCACAGTACAACTCAAAAAATCTCCATTTCGTAACCGCCGTGTTTGGGTTTGCTGTTTCGAAGAGTTCTACCATATCAAAACGTTTCCAAAATTCAGAGCCGTTAGTATCAGGAAAAACTTCCTCACACATTCCAAACGCTCTGCCATACTCTTGAGTACAGCTTGTGTAGTCAGGCATAGTATTGTTCAACGCCATTTGTTCACAAAATTCGGCTAATGTCGATAACCATATCAACATTTCCTTGATAAACGCTGATGGAACAGTACCTAACTGCAAGAACATGGCAGACATGATGTTAACACATAATTCAAACCGCTCTTTTCCTGGATGTTCTTGATTCCATTCTGAGCACAAAGAACGAGTGGTATTTTCCATATTTATCCGTTTGATGTTGCTTTTAGGGATATTTATGTTAAAGCGTAAATTCCGATGCAGTTGTGTTCCGTTTGCGTTTTTGAAGACTTGGTTGAGGAAATGGACTGTCTTTCATTACAGATATTTGACAAAGAACTTGAAAATATGTCTACATGCACTAGTACTAGTATCTTTGCTTGACTCAAGTGTCATTATCGCCGTGCGGTATGATGATTAGCGATTTGCTTAGGTGTATTATATACAACAGTGATTTCGTAATCCTATTGTTAGCCACACCCTCTGAAGTGAATTGTATACATTTGATAACGTAATTCTATATTGAGCCAAATCTTCTGACATTAATTATATACCGATATTTTAGCTATATACATGTTGTAAGCCACGCCTTAAGACGCATTTCGTCTATATATTTTTTTTGGCTCATACAGAGATGATATTTACTAGCTATATCCACGTAGTTAAAGTTGGGGGCAAATCGAAGTTGTAATTAGTAGGTTTGTTGCGCACGCATGAAGACAATACTTTTGATTTACTCCTCTTCACTACTTAAATAATCCCTGTGCACTACCTTGCTGATTGCGGTCGATAACTTAACTCAAGCTAATAAGAACAAGAAAATGTTTGTATAGTTGTTTACAATGATACGAAATACAGGAACATTATTTAATTTACTATTTACTATGAAATTTACATTTTTGTGCATACCACTGAAACATGTTTATATCGACTACCGATGGTGAATTCACACTTTCATGAAAGTAACATCCCTACACACGGTGTTTTCACATCGCAGTTGATTCGGTATTTGATATCCTATTCCGAATATCATGACTTCTCTGATAGATGTCGACTGCTGACAGACACGCTTACAACAAGTCGTGGTGAAGACCGTTTACATCGAACGAACGTTTTGATATTATTTTGTCCACAAAAATGATACCAGAAATGATACTTCATCAACATTCACATCTGCAAGTGCAGTTAGGTAAACATATTAACAAAACATCAAGGTGTATATGAAATGATACAACATTGCTATCGAACACAATAAAGTTCTTGTCATCAAGGAACTCCGTTATTCTAGCAACTTCATCCTCAGTATATCAGCTTATCCTAGTTTAACCTAGTATTCATCAAATACAAATGTAATTTTTCAGCAATTTATTTATGTCATTTTCCGCTATTCTGAAGAAAGCTCTTACGATAAGAAAACAGCTCCATCAGTTTTTTTTATGAGGTATGGTTAAGAGTCGAAAAGTCACATGTTTTGATAGAAAAGACATTTTGGAGGAACCTTTGTTCAAAACTAATCTAAATATAATTTGAATTATTTAAAATGAGGTTGACCTGCATTTCATATCTCAAATAAACAGTGTCACAATACAACTGTATGCGGTTTTTAGTTCAAGAGAAGTTTAGATAACGGTTTGGTTTAGCAACTAAAAATCAAGCGATTAAACGTTGTTTATAATCCTTATATCTTTGTCATATATTAAATCTATGAAACATGATGTATCATATACAAATGTGCATTAGTGTATGTTGTTTCAGGAGTTAAATATATGAAAAACCTGTCGTCGTTTTACTGTAATATATATATATCGATATTGTTGATGCATAATTAACAATAAATAGTATCGTAGTATGTTTAAAGTCTTACTAGCTTTTAAAATCATCATTACATTTTATCAACATATCTTTCCAACGGAATAGTAAAATTCACACACCTTTTGTGGGGTTTTCTCTGCTCATTCATTAACCGGTATATAATCTTAAATTTGTTCATTACGTTGAAGAAACGTATTCGATAAAATATGTTTTTAAAAGGTTCAATGATCTACGAATGCTTCAAAATAGCGTTCCACATAATGTGTAAACAAGATATTGGCGGCTGAATTCACATCAATACAATACCCTATAACGATCGTCTCTACACGTTGCACTGAAAAAGTGACATCAATGGAAGCAGGCCACATGCATTATATATAGCGTTATAGTGTTATGCTAGTGTATACACGGCGAATTTCTTCCATATGACATATTGGCTAGTATCAACACATTTCGTTGCCGGTCCAGAACAGCTGTGTTATCAACATATTCACTGTAATGACCATGTACATTGGGATACTTTTACTACTCATGGTCCATGGTTCTACGAGCTTAGGTAAGTATATTACATTTTACCGATCAAACTAAGTTGCATCTTCATATTCTATGCAACTATCTATAACATGATTCACCAGTGAAATATGAGGAATTATCTGTATAAAAAAGTGTATCTTCTCTGCAGTGAAGTTAGCAAAAATGTTATATAATCACAAGTAAAGATATCACGTACTATTGTCTAATTAAAACGGTACTTTCTCGTAACTGCTTAGATTTTTATTTTCAAATTAAGATGAAGCGGAAGCAGAATAAGTGGTTGTTTTTTGGTGCACGTTCGCAACATACATTTTTGTATTAATATGACTACACCATTTGTATGAACTTTGTTTAAACGTCTTGCGAGAAACTAGCAGCAAACAGAATAACGTTGAGCTACTGGTTCAAAATGGCGATCAGACCTGTTGTCATTGGCAATTTTCTGACGCAGCTATACCTGCCTCATGTTACTTTCAAGAAGGTAATAAAAAGAAAATTCAATGGTTTTCCCGTTGAATATGATATATATCTCACTCGTTTGACGGCGATATACCAATGTTTCAAATATCGATTTTCTGTAATACTTAACAATAAATGTGTTTTTTTTTGGACCAAACATCTAACTAAATTTCCACTTATTTAAGCTATGTATATCATATTCAGTATAACCGTATTATTTCTGTTTTTATTGACTATGATATGAAACTTATTCAACACTGACTGAACTTTGACCTATGTTTATAAGGCTATCATATGCTGCTGCGGCCATTTTGGACACAAATATGTGTTTTTGTTAGGGTTTTATATAACTAAAGAGAGATCTACTTCATACATGGGGGTTGTTGCAGTTTCCAAGGGAAGTTCCGTCTACAAGGCCACGGAAACCTCGGTTTATTACACTGGCGAGTCTCTGTCCTACTGATGAAGGCCAAATATTTAGCTTTGTCGTGGGTTGTGATCAATAGAGCAGGGATTAGTATTGTACCACATCTACAATGTAACAACACTTCGTATTGGTACAAAACATATATAATTGGAGATATATTATATAAGGACCATGCTTGTACAACACTGTGAAAAACCTCGTACTGCAAATATATCTGCCTTGTCCATTATTAGTGTTCAACTAGGTTTATGTTTTCTCCACATAAACGTTATACGAAATCGCAAATAATGGCTGTAATAAATACCTTTTTCTTTCGTGCAACCGTTCGACTATTTCCTTTTGGAAATTTGTTTAATTTAGTTGTGCTTTTCATTACAGTTGAAGATACGTGTTACACTTAGCCTGCACGTATACACTATTACCTTCATTTTGTCACGTTATTTGCTTCATATGTTTGTTCGCTGATGTGATTCCTGAGTGTAGAAAACGTTTCCTTTTATTAATGCAGCCTTATCATTTATTTGATATCCATCACAGTTCACTTCACAACAGTGCTTATAACCGACTGTTTTATCCGCATTTTAGATGTCCGATGTGATTACTACAGAATTGAGGACAGATACAGTGACGTTTTACCTGTATCGAACATCCTATGGATCAGAACAAGGAATCTTGTGAGCTGTATCAATGAATGCCACATTGCTGCAGACTGTGCGTCAATCTTCTACGGCAATGGGTTGTGTTATGGATATGTACGAAAACTACACGACGAGGTTTCAACAACTGTTAGCATCGGAATTAAGTACTATGAAATAGCAGGTAAAGTGATTAAAGATTAAGAGAATCCAAAATAGTTCACTAACACAAAACGGTTCCTCGATAGCTCAATAGAATATGCGTAACAGGAAATATTTTGCATCCATATATTACTAAGGAGGACTTATTTCATGGGTCATTTTGTTGATGACTATTGCAAGAAGCCAAACAAAGTATATATGTACAGAAAAATAAGGTATTTTTTTCTAAATATAACTCATCAGTAATACACAGATAAACAGAAGATATATAGATTATCAATTATTACATGTATTTTAAAAAGCGTACAGTTGCCCAGTTAATATTTTATTTTGTTCAGGTTTGTAACTTTGACATATTGCTAATTCTTGAAAATAATCTCAACCGTGTCAGAATAAAGTCCCATCAGGTCATGACTTATAATAAGGAACAGATAGATTACTGTGAAATCACCAATTTTCGTGTTTTTTTTAAATTTCTCTGGGTAATCGACATTCAGAAATGCAAAGGTCCACGAAGTAAGTTTGATATAAAGCAATTCTCCGTTTGAGTGGGTACTCGTAATCCACGAACTCTTGTACCCACGTACTGGTGTTTTGTCGGGAAACCATGAAGTTTTGGGCCCAAGAAAACATCTGATTTTACAGTATCTGTCAATGTAATCACTTCATGGCATTACATCAAATAATCCCTAGCAGCACATTTAAAAAAAAATGTTGATATCGAAAATCAGTTGAGATGGTTTATTATCATCGATTAATTATCGTCATGTTTAACCCGATTGAGTTTCACTGCTTACAAAGTCTATTTGCTGCAAATATAAAAATAAAACAAATTAGAACCGAAACCGGATGTTATTTTCGGATGCTGACATGTATGTTGAAAGACACAAGACACTCACGACTATAGCCAATCTCATTAAAATCAGATGTTAATAAAAAAAATACCTACGGCTACGGTTCATGCGGTACGTGATAATGAACAGCTGTATTTATTCAGATTGGACTATAGCGAGACAACTGCAGCTGTGTCTAAACAAACTTCAGACATTGGCAAGTGAAAATGGCTTTACATTCTCAAGATCAAAAACTCCGAAAGTTACACAATGATCCCTGTTTAACTCTAGACGGAACTATTATTCCAGTTGTTCGACAAAGAAATTTTCGTGGACTTATTTTCGACTCAAAATTATCCTTTTTGCCTCATAACAAATATTTAAAAAATAAAGCTTTAACTTTTCTCAACGTACTATCCCTTACATATTGGAGAGCTGACCGTGATGTGCTGCTGTGTCTATATCGCTTATTTGTTCGTTCAAAGCTTGATTATGGTTTCATTATATATGGGTCAGCCCGCAAGTCATATTAGCAGATGCTCGGCCCAGTTCATCCGTCCGTTTTAGGTGCTTTTCGCATAGGTCTGGCCTTTAATGAAATTGAAAATAATAAAATTAACAAAACAATAATTTGTTCTGACTCTCTGTCACTATCTGTCTCGTTTTGATCTGGTGTAACGGGTTTTTGTAATATTAAACAAATTATGAGCATGTTTATTAGCAAACACGCATCTGAAAAATATGTCAAAAAACTAAATGCCTGTTGTTTGTAGACCTTTTTTTACAAGAATTTAAAACTATTACCAATTCGGCGTCCTTTTTGAAAATGTGTATTAATGTGTATTCCTTGCGATTCAAAAAAGGCCAAAATTTCACCTTTTTTGACTCTAGATTGATCACTTAAATTGTCATTGTTTTGCCAATTTTTAATTGTAGCAGGTTCAATTTTGCTGTTCAACTTTATAATGTTTAATATGATAAAAAATAATATGCAACAAACTGGAAAATTATACATTATTGATTTTTTGTGTGCATATCTAGTGTAACTGAAGCACTTTTAATTTTTGACCCTGAAAAAGAGAAACACATTTTCTTTTAATTCATTAAATATTAAAAAAAGTTTAATAGCAGAACTTTTTATATCAAGCGTTTAAACTGCAAAACATGGTAAAAACGTGAGTAAATTTTCATTAAAAAATTGGGGGTAGGAGTAACTAAAATCGGCTTTCTAAGTTAAAAGAATAAGATTAAGAAATTTTACTTCCATAATTTAAAAGAAAATAATATTTTTATCAATTCTACAAACATTCATACATATCTAATAACACACTAGGAAGAAATTGTATGATTTTGTTCTGCAAATGGTCAAAACCCAAAAAATCACCTAAAATCACATGTTGTGTTAAATTGGTACCTTTGACCGATCATAGCACAAAAACGAACACACATGGCTACATTTTGCGTAAGGAAGACAGTCCTTATTTTCATGCAAGCGATCAACTATTTACAGTCAAACATTTTATGATTATATGCGCTGATTTCAAAAAAATACGTGACTCTATTGATCTTTACAATCCAATATGATATATTGTGCAGGCAATTTGTTCGATATTGATGTATTTCTTTAATCATTTCCATATGCTTCGCTATTAAGTTTTGGTTTGATGTGTTTATTTTCGTGAATGTTACTTTTTACAGTATTGTTGGCCCTAAATGACTCACATTGTCTATAAGGTCGGCATCAATTCCGCGCTATTACAAGGAGAAAAACACGAACATATCGCAGCTTCCCAAAACACACACGCATACACTACACGCATGCATCTTGCACACAGGGGAGGCCTTGCTTAAATGACAATAGCTGTTAATAGGACGTTAAACATTACTAAACCAAACCAAACCAAAAATTGTCGATGGGCCGTTAAATAATACCAAAACACTCGTGCGAGTGCGCCTATAACATTATATCACAATGCCACTGTATTATAATAGTCTTTTTTTTGTGAGAATCCATGTGAAGAAGGATGGCATTGGGAGTAAAATTTACTTGAGTAATATTAAATAAGATGCTTATGAAATTAGTAATATGTTTCATGAGCTTTTAATTATGTATATACATTGCGTTGTCAATATAAATGCCTATATTATGAACCGATATATACTTTAGTGTGTCTATATTTTTTTTCCCTTCTGTCCATTGATTGGTTAATTAATATGCACACTTTCTGTGTATTAAGTACAACTTCCATAATTTGACATATTTCCAAACCTTGATACTATAAGACTTTGGAACGTTCAGCATAAAGGGGAATGGCTACACCTGGTTCACCCGTTGTCAATATAATGTGACCGGGCGGAATGCTGTGTTGGGTGCCTTTGGCATGATATTTCAGTGAGATAGCACTATAGAGTCGGCATCAGATCTGCGCTTTCACAAGGAGGCAAATACACCAACATACCCTGTCGTCGGCATGCATTCACACATGCACGCTTCCACAAAATACATGAAGAAACGTCTTTAAATGACCCTTAACTTTTAAAAGGACGTTTAACAATCTATAATCAAACCAAATCCAGGAGCTGTCACGGCAATTAGCCACATTGAATCAATGTAATAGGACATTGAACAAATTTAAACCAAACTAAACTAAACTTATTTGACTTTGTACTACAGTTGTAATATCGAACGGCGTTACACGATGAGCGGTGTATGCACTGTGTATGCACTTATGCGCACGATGAAAAACTGTCCGGTATAGCTTACGTTACACTGTGCTATAGTTATCGCACATATGTTCGATACGTATTGTTGATGATAGTTATGCGTTTTGTATAAATATACTACTAATCTGTATTTTGTATACACCGATTCTGTAATGTCATGATACCTCTATCCCATAATACTCGGGTGTAATAAAGATGGTTACCTGCTAGTCTTGCCTGTAACACGTGTTTGCTTTTTGTGTGAGTTTTCCTGTCAGTAGAACGTCCCAGAACTCAACGATTAACAAGTATCATGGTTGATATATATTTAAGAATGTAAGTGAATATGATGATACATTTAAACGTATATCTTACGCTGTTAAGGTATGTTGCAATATCAAGAGCCAAATTTGTTTTGAAACGTTTTTAATCGACAAATGTGCAGATAAACTGTCATTTACATATTCGTACTGTGCTCGAACATAACATGTTAATAAAGCGGTCTCGCCTATTACCGGTAACCTGTAAATTACCAGGTAACGGGTACATATTTGTATATCAATAGTCAACTGCGAAGGAAATTGCAATACAAAGGGTACCAGACACAATTAACACAGGTAACTATGCCAAGGTAATTAGGTCTAGATGTGCATTAATTGGTCCAATCACTAATGAACTCCAGTCGGCAACTCGGTATAAGTACGTGTACTTCAAAGGTACATGACAATACAATCCGTTGTATTGTGAAACGTGAACTGAGGTTAAGGAACAGTGCAAAATATACGTATACAATGTACCTGTTTAATTATTTCAATCGACCTTCATTTTCTTTGTTTACATCGATGAACCGCTGTAAATATATATCGCATATAAGTGCGCGTTTCAATGCATATTGGGTGATCATGCGTTCAATCGCCCAGTTTTGCGCACTATGTACACAAGGCTGGGCGATTTGTGTGGGGCATATGTTTGAACGATGTGCCATGGTAATCTTGGTACGTGCGATCACACAATTGTACAATTACCTATTTGGATTTAAACACTTTTGCACGTATTAATAATATTACATTGTTTATAAGTTTGACGTCGTTCTCATAAGTTCACTCGTCGGACCATCCCGGTTTCTGGAAAGTCTTCTACAAAGTGGACACAGGTGGACATTCCTGTCGATAGCATATCATATTGAAAACAAAACCTTATTTTATTTTATCAGCCCAATTTTTTTATTGATTTGGTGATTGCTTTCTGTTCTCAATAACAATGTGGTAGGTATACATATGTTGTCGTTATACTGAGACAGGGTATTATATTTGACTTTGTCGGGTCCTTAATATTTGCAAAATTTCAGTTCATATGACGTCACTATCACATTTGGCTAATCCAGATCCATTTTGAAGTTACATTCAGATAATAATTTCATAACCTTCAAAAATCAATCACTTTGTTCTTACTAACATTTTACCAGACACAATTCAACAAGCAAACGAGTATATACGTTAATTCAACAAGCAAACGAGTATATACGTAAAAAAATTAATATACATGATTAAATATGTCAAGAGAATCATTTTATTTATTCCACAGGGCCAGTTGGTAACTTAGCAGCCGGGAAACCTACCACCCAATCGTCGAGCCTTGACAACGCCGCCTTTGGTCCTCAGTACGCGGTGGACTCGCGACGCTACCCTATCCAGAATGCTCCAGAGTCTCTTCGTTCTTGTTCTCACACAGAAGTTGGCGGAAGAGGGGATGATACACCGTTCTGGGAAGTAGATTTGCTGTCCCGGCATAAGATTACATCATTGTCGTTTCTTAGTCGTAACGAATGTTGTGGTGAGTGGTAGCAATTGTATGGTTGCTGATATGTCCAATTTCGTTGTGTCATTATTTGTCATCGAAATAACGATGTGTTTTCATCTTGTCGACCCGAAATGATGTAAATTAAATAGCGGGGCAAACTATGTCATGTGGCTTAACAGCTTCATTTTCGTTAATCCCCGCAAATTGTTTAGTTGTTTCGTTATTTCGCTGCGAAAAGACAATTATTATCGGAACGAAAAATCGATGAACAACGTCATTTTATTGCCAAAAAGTAACGAAATGGCACATATCAGTCTTGTGATGGTTAACTGTTAAAAGTCACACCTTCCAATGTAATTGATATATTTGTTGTATTGATTGAATTCTATAACGTGGGTCCCTGCAGGTAGGGCGTAAGAATTGTACCTGCTCCCCCATAGCATGATCGTAAGAGGCGACTAAATTTGGGATCTTATCTTTTCTCTTCTTTCTAAACAACTTTCTTCTTCCTAATGTCTCCCTTGACAATGCCTCATATTTTGCCTTTAGCTGAGCGTTTGCCCCTGTTAGGGAGGCTTTGAGTTCTGCCCCCTGGTCGAAACATACCAGAGTCTGTAAAATGGTAGTTTCTGCTCCTGCTTAACGCTCAGCAATTTAGAAGTCGGACGACTGGTTCGCCCGTTGTCAGTATAATGTGACCAGGTGGGGTCTCCTGTTTGGTGTCTTCGGCAGTTTGTTTCAGTGAGGTAGCACTATAAAGTCGGCATCAGTTCCGCGCTATCACAAGGAGACAGACACGAACATATCGCAGCCTCCATAAACACACACGCATACAATACATGCATGCACCTTGCACAAAGGTGAGGCCGTCCTTAAATGACCATAGCTGTTGATAGGACGTTAAACATTACTAAACCAAACCAAACCACACTATAACGTGATGGTTCTACAATGTATATAGTGTTGTGGTCATACTTTTCAGAGTGATTATTACATATATGGTTAGTGGTCACACTTTCCAATGGTATAGTTATATTTGGTGTAATGTAAACCCGTGGAATTCTCGTCACCTGTGACATTTTCCAAGTTGTGAAAATAACGCAGGTGTCTAACACAGAGAAAATATAGATCAACACAAAGGAAATTAAGAAACATTTCAAGTCATAACGGTCATACCTCCCGGTCACTCATTCTTAATGTTAATAACATGTTCTGTATCGTAGCTTGAGCACACCAACATACCCTGTCTCCTGCATACACACACGCAAGCAAGAATACACAATACGCATGGAGGCACGCCATTTAATGACCTAAGCTGTTAATAGGACGTTAAACAAAATTAAGCCAAACTAAAACGTAGCTTCAGGCCTCATTCTTGACATTTGTAATACTGTATATGTGCAATACTCGGACGTTATGCAAAATATACCTATCTGAAATTAAATATGTACCATGCACTTTATTTCGTATCTTCTGGAATTTGTTATTCAAATTACCATGTTGCAATTTGTCAAAAATAGCAATAGGTCTGAAAGAGGGTTTGTTTGATCTGACATTTTTCTACATGTACCTCTGCTTGGTCGGTTTTTTTCTGTTTCTTTGTATGGGTTATTGATTTTTACATATGCCATTTTGTGTCTTTCTATGATTTATATGATCGGGGGAAGTTTCTACCTTTCTGTTTAGAGGATATTGAGCAACCCAAGAAAACACCTGCCGTATCCCACTGCATGTGTGTCGTAGGCGACTAATGTATGGTCCCCTACAAAATCTTTGTTTTTATTCTGTGTCTTCTCGTGAGAGGATATTGAATTTACCTGCTGCCCCCATTTAAAGAAATGGAATTATTTTTTATTTTCTATCTTTCCTGTCATCCTTCTGTTCTATCTATTTTCCCTTAAAGTGGTGTTGTTCTTGGCAAATGTCCTCATATGACACTGGCTGTTGCGAGGACGTTAAGCCAAAACCAAACAAACAATTAGTCATACATTTTTGTCGTAGTTTCTCAAACAGAGGGCACACAACAAATCACTACAAGCGTCTAACACTTTCGGAATAATATAATCATTAAGTGCAATGCTTGCGATAGGCTGATTAAGCATAAAGTCAAATATACTGTAAGAAGTATCGATGGTTGACACTTAATAACTACAACGTTATATAACTTAAGGATCCATGACCCACTGCAAACAAAGCAGTAGAGAATTCTACTGCAGTTTTTGTATCTGGAGTAGTCTGCCTTTAAATTCATTTTCGAAATAACGCTAGAACAAGACGGCTAAGGTACTACCGTTAACTAGGTATATCGGTCTCTGAAAGCACAGTCAAAAGAATGGAGGTCCGAAGTTTGAATCCTTGCATGGCCCTGATACATCGGTACACTCAGAACGCACTTGTTTATTTATTTATTATTTCTTTCATTGTCTTATAAAAGTTATATCAGGTATAAATGTCTTTCCTGATACAAGTTGTAAAATGTATAGTGTTNAATTTATAGTGTTTTTCGGGGGAAATGTTTTCATAGCAAAGTAACATTGGTTTTCATTGTTACGGGGACAATCTATCATTTTTACCGTATATAAACGCTATTGTACGCATCCCCTTATATTCGTGTCAGATGTTGGTCTCGACCTTACCGTTGATTTTGTATTATGTCGTCTTTTTGTTGTATATCGATCTTCTATAGATAGAGCCTAACGAGGCGAATATCGATTCCGAACAAGTAACAGTTATGTTAATAACGTTTTTTTTATGTCAGTAATCAGAAAGCAAAAATATTTTCACTAGATGTCCGAATCATGCAAAGCCATGTGCTACTATATATTTAATATTCCTCATCGCCTGATTACTGTAATACTTATAGACGTTGAGCAAATACGCCACACTTTCAATGTTTGGGATGCTCTATGAAAATAAAATGCATACTTTTGTTCGGTATAGAAATAATAAAAACGACATCTGGACTAAGTATAGGAAGATTTTAAAAACAAGTAGGGAAGATACTCTGAACACCTCATATAGAAAAATCAAAACGTTTCACACGAGACGGAACTAATTTCACGAAGGAATTAGTTCAGGAATAGTAGACAAGCTTATATCGCTTGATTAAATACAGTCTTAGTCTCTAATCCTAGACAACATACTATCGATGTACGCGGGTATTAAGTTGTAACAAAGGTCACTGTGTGTCTAGTACATTGAGTTTGGNACCTCATATAGAAAAATCAAAACTTTTCACACGAGACGGAACTAATTTCACGAAGGGATTAGTTCAGGATTAGTAGACAAGCTTATATCGCTTGATTAAATACAGTCTTAGTCTCTAATCCTAGACAACATACTATCGATGTACGCGGGGATTAAGTTGTAACAAAGGTCACTGTGTGTCTAGTACATTGAGTTTGGATCAGTGATGCACCTTATGTTCCCTCAACATAGTATGAATGTGCTTTGAATTCAGAAAAAAACATCCTATTATTGTTGCTTATATCTAATATGTAACTAACATAAAAATGAATATGACACACACATATAATTGCATCTTTAAAATCTGATAAAAAATACTGACGAAAATAAATTTTACAGCTGCTTCTACGACTCATCGGTGAATCTAGGGGCCAAAAAGCTGGAAATTCTTATTGTCAAACCTAATGTCGAAGTGCAATATTCAATCTTAAAGTTTCTAAACCTAAATTATGTCTAATGTGTGTATATTTCGAACTGTGTCACTACCCCAAAGACATAAATGTGGCCATTAAGTTCATAGCAAACTTCTTCGATTATAAAATCCTCCATTACTGTCTTCCACTTTGTTTTGGAAAGATCAGAGTAACACACACATAGGTGAATGCACTTATACATTTTGATTTTGTTTATTTAAGCCAAACATGAGTTTCCCTTCGACATACAGTTGTTTCCTCCGTCTATGACTAATCGGTGGTACTGGGGACCAAAACAATGGAAAATATCAATCAATTGAACGTCATAACACTACAACACTTNTTTCTAAACCTAAATTATGTCTAATGTGTGTATATTTCGAACTGTGTCACTACCCCAAAGACATAAATGTGGCCATTAAGTTCATAGCAAACTTCTTCGATTATAAAATCCTCCATTACTGTCTTCCACTTTGTTTTGGAAAGATCCGAGTAACACACACATAGGTGAATGCACTTATACATTTTGATATTATTTATTTAAGCCAAACATGAGTTTCCCTCCGACATACAGTTGTTTCCTCCGTCTAGGACTAATCGGTGGTACTGGGGACCAAAACAATGGAAAATATCAATCAATTGAACGTCATAACACTTCAACACTTATATCAGAGGCAACTGTATCAGATATATGTAACTTCACAGGTCTAACGTTTTGTTTAAACCCTTCATTTTTACCTTTCGTGAATCGTTATGAATAACTAAAATTCATAAAATCGATATACTGTTCTTTTGTTGCTTAAATGATACCTCCATATAACGTCTCTCGCTTCATTTGCCACCTTGCTAATTGATATAATGTTCTTCTTTTGCTTATATTAAACATCGACATACTGTAATGTCCCTCCTCGTTTTATTTGCCACCTTGCTTATCGTCAACTTATGCAAATTATAATATAACTAATTGATATACATGTAATGTTCTTCTTTTGCTTATATTAAACCATGATATAATGTCTCTCGTTCTATTTGCCAACACAGGTTATCGCCAACTTATCCTTTTGTCTATATGTCCTTTTCTCGATTTTTCTTGGTTCTTTCTCTCTCTATAGACTGCCGAATCCCTTCATAACATCAAACGTTCACATGACAATATTACGGCAGCATAACATGATTTTCTGTTAGCACAGACTAGCTCTCAGTATGAATATATTCTGTTTAAATTTCTATGGATTTGACCAGGTCTTCTATGCGCCGATATCTACATGCGCAACACAATATACAGTAGACAGAACATCAGGTTATAATTATAGAGACTGAAACGCAGTAACTATTACCGATTTAATATTTATCCGAACATGGCAGGTAGCTCATTAATGCCGGATACAAATGTGTACAGATACAAAAGATAGCGTTGTGAAATCGATTGCGTATACATAATTATATTGAAAGCTTATTAGTGCTCCAGTCGTTTAAATCAATCGCATCACAAGTTGTTATAAATATTCCTTCTAAACATTTTCGTAAACATAATTGAGTGTATGGTTTTCAACTGGTATTTGTGTTTTCCTAATCAACTACATGAAAAGCGCGATGCCATTTACAGGCAGTTTTATATTTTAACAGCTTATTGTGATGATGTCTTAGGAGTTACATAATATGACACGTTTGGTAATGATTTAGCCTTTTTTCTGGTTGCTGTTTGTTCTAAATACGAAATTTCCACCTGAAAATTCAAAACTTGCGTCGTGTCGATATTTCTTCATAAGATGAATATGCCTATTTCGCAGGTGAACGCAACACTGGGTTAAACATTACTGTGGCAGAGACATCAGGAGGACCCTATGTTTTGTGTTCGTATTACCCCTTGGGAACTGGTTTTGTCGGTGAGATGAAGACGTTTTACTGTATTCAGCCATTGACCGGACGGTTTGTACGAATGTCACGTGACCTGCCTGTAATCAACGCATGCGAGATCGAAATATATGGTAACAAGTTGAACTAATATTGAATTACGTCATTCGTGTTTGCATGCATTCAAATACTTGCATAAATCAATTTGCACTGTATATTTCTACATATTGATACTATATATGTTGACTGATTTATTTTCAAGGTTCAAACGAGTGGTTGAATGTACAGATAATTCACATGACTTTATATGTTGATGTATCAACTTGTGTTTAAAAGGAATACTATTCTTTCTTTATCGTGCAGCAGTGTTGATTTTCTTTGCGTCTAATATACGTGTCGATTTTACCCGAGACGTATAAGGGTGTTTTTCTCACGCACCTTATGCGATCTTATTTTTTAACTCACCGGGTACGAAGGATCAAAGCGAGCTTATGCCATACCGTGGCGTCCGTCGTCCGTCCGTCGTCCGTCCGTCAAAAATTCCCTTAAACGACTTCTTCTTAACCTCTGATTGGAATTTAAGTAAATTTGACTGGAAGCATCCGTAGGTGGTGGGAATTTAAATTGTACAAATGGTTGGGCTGACCCCATTGTTTACATCATGTTTTTACTGATACATTTTACCGTTAATAATGGTTCGATTATGTTTGCATTCCTTTAATTCTTTATAGATCCTTGTATAACTGTCAAAAACTAAGCATTGGAAACTGGTTTTTTGGCATGAATGGAAAATAATTTCTGACAGGAAAACCATATATTCCTTGAATTTAAGGAAAAATTATAAAAATGAAATAACAAAAAAAGTATATCGACAACAGTGATCTGAATGTAAAACAAAACAGCGGGACTAGCCCGGTATTCGAACCCTGATCAATCCAGGTTGATGAACCTTCACTTTAGCCGAGTGAGCTACCTGGGCAAAAAAGTGTTCTGGCCACCTTTGCTAAAGCTTTATCCAAAACAGAAATTAATAGGAGTTTTCTGTAGATAGGAAAGATACAATACAGTGGGACAGGGATCCTTTAGTTATCAGATCCCATTGCTGTCCTTGTGCACTTTTACATATTGTACCTGTGTGACGCTATTGTTTTGAAGACTTAGAAAAGGGATGGAGGAATGTACCGGAACTACACTGGGTTCATCGTCGGCGGCCAGAAAGCTCTATTGCTTGAGCGTCTGTCTAGATTTCAGAGCGCCCCGAGTTCGAGGTCCGGACTTGCCGTGCATTTTTCTATCTCTTTTTATACTTGTACTCATATATTACTACCAGAACATCGCTTAAACACGTTCTGAAATAATTTTAGTTGTTAATAACATAAAAGGACGTTAAACAAGGTAAAACAAACCATTCAAGCAAGTCGCCAGATCTTTTGTTGTTTAACACTATTTATAAATATATTTCGTCAATCCATCAAAAGAAAGTAAATATATGCACACCTGATATAAAACCAGATAGAACTAAGGTTGTATTTAATGGAATTTTTGAAACTTTATTTGTACGTCTGATTGATTAATCTATTTATGTCGGTTGTGTTTAGTCAGTTTTAACTGTTTACATAATATAATCTCAATGTACATGTTCTAAAAAATCAGAATTTAAAACAGGTTCATTTGGTTCATTCATTTTAAAAATCCTACAATTTTAAGGTTCAACATATATGAAAAATATTGATCTAACTAAATAATGTGGCAAACCGCTGAATAAATATTGCTGCGAATCACACTATGAGATGTACAACGCACACATTAATTTGTAGACGTTTATCAGAAAGAGCAATAATGCTCAAGAAACTGCAATATCAAATAATTCACAATATAAACAAACAATTACAAACATAGCCACCAAGCTAATCATTTACGTACAGGTACCCATCTCCGCTACATAACGTTGGATGAATGTTTTCAAACAAGGTTCTGTATGTCATATATGGCAATCAAATTATCATATTGATCAATCTACTGCCAGATACATGCAAACGAGGCGTCATCAATATTTTATTGTTTTAAATTTGCATTGTATTACTATGTAACGGCCCATCAACACAATAGTGAACTACAGGGTACAAGGACAGCAATGAGATCTCAAAACTTAAATATTCCCGTTCCACGGTACTTTAGTTATTATGTCCCCCAAACGAAGTGGGGGACTTATTGTTTTTACTCCGTTTCTTATTATTAAGTCCGAAATGGGGGACTTTTTGGTTTTACTCCGTTTCTTATTATTAAGTCCCCCAAACGAAGTGGGGACTTATTGTTTTTACTCTGTTTCTTCTTCTTCTGATTGGTCGACATTTATATATTGTTCGATTTTGATAAAAAAAAGAAGGTTAATATGGGTATTAGGGGACTGCGAATTCAACCAGATATATGTCATTGCCATTGCAACCATACGGAGGCTTCGGATTGGTCGGAATTAAGATATTGTTAGATTTTGATAAAATATGGTATACAGGGGAATAAGAGGACTGCAAATTCAATCACATACGTTTCAATACCATAGCAACCATACAGAGACTTCTGATTGGTTGCAATTTAGAAATTGCTCAATTTCACTCAAATTTAGTATTTACATTGTAGGTGTACTATGACAATGTGGAGGGGAGGGGGCGGTGTGGCTAGGGGTTAGTCTGACATTCTGCTACCACTATAGCCCTCCACCACTAGGTCGCGGATTCGAGGCCTACGTGGGGCAGTCACAAGATACTGCCCCCAGGTCGGTCGTTTTTCTCCGGGAACTCCTGCGTTCCTCCACCACCAAAACCTGGCTCGTCCTTAAATAACCATGTTGTATTGATTCGGCTGCTCGTTATTTTTGAGATTTCCAGGAAAGATTTTTTGATGTATATATTTATGCCCGCGCTATGGCATTAAATAACTTTTTATCTTTACATTTGACAAATCAGTAAGTACTGTTTTTTAAAACGTGCCAACAAATGTCCCAGTTTTCTGGGTATACAAAAAGTAACAAACCAACATTCTGTTGCTTTATTTTCATATCACATACTTTAAAATCAAACAAGAACATTGAAGCGGTGCCGGTTCCCAACTTTTGAAAGGTTGTACCGTACTTGGGGTGCCACAGAAATCATTTACACTGAGAAAACATAAGATTGAAACATGCATTCACTCTTAAACAGGATCATAAACGCAAAAATAGAACGAAATATCATTGTACAAAGTGGTTCAACCTTTTTTTTGTAGTCAATATTATAGGGTACATCCAAATCTCGTATTAATTATGTAGCGGATTGTGGTGGCAGATTAATAATATGATTGATGAAATGAGTTCATGTCCCCACTATCTACCTAATAGACGAACGAATCCCCGGACAAATTAATTTCACGATTGTAAACTTGAAGGTATATAGGCCAAGAAGTTAAACAATAACGTTTGTATCTAATAAATATTATAACTTAGATAAAGGTGAACGGATGAATAATGACTCGGTTCATACCGACGAATGCACGTAAAACACATTGAACAATCAAGCTTAGGACACAGGAGACGTCTGTATGCAAGGTAAAATATAATAGAAATTTGTATAAGATATCAACTGTAAGAACCATCTGTATACAATACTAAATACAATAGACACCTACATACAATATCAAATGTAATAGACCTCTGTATACAATATCACATATTATAGGCATCTGTATACAAAATCAAATGTAATGAATGTTTATATGCATTATTAATTAAATAAAATATATCTGAATACAATATTAAAAGTAATAGACATCTGCTTATAGTATCATGTGTAATAGACATATGTGATAGACAACTGTATACAGTGTCAAATGTGAAAAAAACCTGTATACAGTGCCACATATGATAGGCAACTGTATACAGTGCCACATATGATAGGCAACTGTATACAGTGTCACATGTGATAGACAACTGTATACAGTGTCACATGAGATAGACAACTGTATACAGTGTCACATATGATAGACAACTGTATACAGTATCAAATATAATAAATATATGTATATAATAGCATGTCCCTGCAGGTAGGGCGTAAGAATTGTACCTGTTGCCCTCATTGCATGATCGTATGAGGCGTCTCAATTTGGGATCTTATCTTTTCTCTCTAAACAAGTTTCTTCTTCCTAATGTTTCCCTTGACAATGCCTCATTTTTGGCCTTTAGTTTAGCGTTCGCCCCTGTGAGAAAGGCTTTGGGTTCTGTCCTCTGGCCGAGACATACCAGAGTCTGTAAAAATTGTAGTTTCTGCTCCTGCTTAACGCTCAGCAATTTAGGAGTGGGACGACTGGTTCGCCTGTTGTCAGTATAATGTGACCGGGTGGGGTGTCCTGCTGGATGTCTTTGGAAGTATGTGTCAGTGTGATAGCACTATAATTCGGCATTAGTTCCGCGCTATCACAAGGAGACAAACACGAACATACTGCAGCCTCTCAAAACACACACGCATGTATCTTGCACACAAGAGAGACCTTCTTTAAATGACCAAATCTGTTTTGATAAGACGTTAAACAATACTAAACCAAACCAAACTAAACCAAGTATACAATATCACATGTAATATACATCTGTATACAATATCAAATATAAGAGACATCTGTATATAATATCAAATATTAGAGACATCTGTATACAAAAGTTATTTATATATATACATAGCTGATTTTATGTCGCGACACATAAACCCTCTATTATACCGTTTGACAGGTATTGTAAAAAAGGGTTGCTACGTTGTTTTGAGGTATTTGGTTGGCTAACATCCCCCGCTACAATCTGATTGACTGAAGGCCTCTTTCCTCATCTTTAAGAAAAAACTCAACGGCGCCATTTTGTGGCAGCATCTTTTTAGAAATGTATACCAAATTTGTCTTATGAAAAACCCACCCTCAGATGCCACCCGTTTAATATTGTTTTGTTTTATGGTATATATATATATATATATATATGTGTTGGCGTGGCGTAATCTTGTCGAATCCCAACCTAAGGATGTTAATTGACAGTAAATATCATTTTTATAGTTTGTGTCATGATGTCATTTATAATAAATTGTCATCTCATGATGGCCTTATTCAATTTTTATTTGCGTTGAGTTTTATGTGGAGTAG